TCCTCAGGTGTGCTTGATGGGAAGTGACAAACAACCCCCAGGAGGGGTGAGTCCCCGCTCGGGAAGACGATGTTGACCCATAGAGTCTCAATCGTTTGAATAGTAGTAAGGGAAACACGCAAAGCAGGTAGGAGGGAATCATTAAGGAAGAGAGCCACTCCACCCTGATGGCCACGGTTTGAGTCCTGTCTGAACGAGGTAAAACCATCTATCATTAATTCATCATCTAGTATATCTGGAATTAGCCACATCTCAGTTAGGGCTATTATGTGTGGCTTCGTATCGCGCGCCAATTGTCGTAGTTCAAGGAGTTTATTAGTTATACTGAGGCAATTGGTTTATACGCACTTCAGCACCTGCTCACTATGTATTTCAGCAGGTCTAGTAGGATGGCAGGGGACGTGGGAGAGTTTTGGAGTGGGTGTTTCGGGGGGCTGGCACCCGAGAAGGCATTTTGGAGGGTGATACTATGTGTGTGGCATACCTGTTGCATGCTGGCAAGATCGACATGCCAGTTTTCTGGAGTTTCACTCTGTCTGGTGGGCGAGAGCGGTCTATTGGGGATAGAAAAGGGGGTTAGCGCGTCTTGCTTTTCTTACAGTTCTGTCTTGGCGTTCGCTCTAGGAGCGAACTGGCGACGCTTTCCCAACATTTCGGGTTTTGGCGCAGAAAGAATGTTTCTTGGGTTTTTAGTTTTGAAGAAATAACATTTCGGTTTCGCCGTGGTATGAGCTGAGGGGATAACCTTTGGTCGAATGGTGAGCACTTTGATTGGGCCTTTGACATCCTTTGCTGGAGCGTGGGATGGTTTTATAGGTGATAATAACTTGCTGTTGAGGATCTCGACTATGGTTGGTTCATCCATGATTATGTCGGCGAAGCTTGCGTCCGGAGTGCTGGCGACTAGTGGTGCGAAGCATAGATTCTTGTCCTTTTTGGGAGAGGAGATTTGTGGTATCTTCTCAATATTCAGACGCGTGAGATTAACTGCAGTACGCATTCGCAGTTTCTCATCTATTTTTATGCCATCAGGTTTTTTGTCAGATTTTCTGAAATGGAGGGGAATGTCGTGGGCTACACCTGTGACATACTTACATCTCTTGTTTATATTCGCCTGAGCAGGACAGTGCCATACTGTTGTGCTCTTGCTGAACTCGACCACGATACTTATGATCGCTTTCTTGGTTTTTGTTCGAAGATGTGAACCCCTGATTGGGTTCAGGATCTCCAGTGATTTGAGGCCATCCAGGATTTTCTTGACCCTATGAGCTGGGTGTGTTTCTCCTGGAAACTTCCACCAGATTATCATGCGTTTGCTGCATGTCTCAGACAGTTTATTGGCGGTGTCTAAAATGATTTGGTCTGATACGCTGAGGGTCATCCTACTGGCTTCGAATTGGGGGGAGAGACCTAGAAGTAGCGCCTTCACCTCCACCAACTCAGCCTAGAGTTTGGCAACTTTCGTCCTTTGACTTACGATTGCCTCACTCTGGGATAAGATTATCCTTTTTTGCATCACTGGGGAAGTGTTGATTACCGTGTTGTCAAGACGCATACGTGAAGTTTTCCCGTCCAGAGATAGATCCTGGATTGAGATAGTATCGTATTTTCTGCTATCATTTTAAGAGTAAGTTGTGATAAAGTTGTTACGGGAACGATAACAGACATAACGTAGGACGAAACTTGAATTGCGCTTAAGGACTCTGTGAACAATACACAGCTAACTGCAGGAAAACGACGCGTAAGATAGGACAAATGAGCTAAGTCTAACGACGATAGGTAGCAGTAAACAGCGATCCTGTGAATCTAGAATAAACGCACGGTCTGGGCAAAAAAACGGCTTTGGGCAGCAGTAATAATATTGAACGTGGTTCTATAAAAAATTACAATATCAAACATATATAAAATAGGTACTCGCGACTAGATTGACACGACGTCGATTTAACTAGCGCGTCAAGGTCAGAATATAAAATCAACAATTATAAAGGGCGGTAATGCAGTTAAACAGAAATAGAAAAAGAGGAAAAGCATATAAATTTTAGGTCTCGTATACAGCGCAGCGAGTTGGGATATGGCGTAGCGCAAAAATGGATAAATGTTGAAGTTTGGGTAATAAAGGATTCACAAATCTTTTACAATAGTGATGATCTAGGATAAATACGAAAAAGCACTAAATGGGAGACAACATTAGAGTACGTAACAGTAGTGCGCACTGAATTTTGACCATTGGGACACTAGGAGCCGCGACCGGGAATGTTATAGCAAGTGTGTCAGAAAAAGGATTGATAGCAAATAAGGCGAAGGGTTACTTTTAGATTCAGAAAACGAATTATCAGAGCGAGCCCTCGAAAATTTCAGCTGGGCGCCAACTCACCGCAGGTCAGTTTTCAACTCGAGTGGCTGGTATACAGCCAATGTGGAGAGAGAATGGGGAACATAATTGTCAACCAGAAGAGTCAGACACCACATCAAGTAACCGGTGAGAGAGGAGATTTGCCATTAGGTTGTTTTTAACAAGGATTAGACAGCGTCCTCCTCGACGGAGATGGTCCTTTCTAAAGATCTGATAGCCTGTAATCGTGACGTGGTCATGCGAGACTGTCATTTAATCACGTTTCAGGCAATTGATGAACGAGGAGGCATATCGGAAGGTAATTTGGGAGATCAGATAGGGTGGGGGTTGTGGGGGTGTTAAGTAGAAGGACGGCCGGCTGCCCTGGTTGGCGAGACTGGACGGACTGTGCCTATGTCAGGATAATCAGTCGATCACCCTGGTGAGCAAACAGAAAAGGGAGAGGCTAAATCCAGATTTGGGCGTTTACTAGAGGGTTGCCGTGTAGTCAAGGAGGCAGTTTTGTCAAGATCAACCGACGGCCGATTTTGGTTAATTGGCAGGCGGGGTGGATCCGCATGGAACGTTGGGTGATATTGCCTTCCCTGTTTAAAGGAGAGATGAATTGGGCCGTTATGATATGAGGGATTATTCTTCACGCATCTGGATATCTCTCTGGAGTTCTATCGGAGATTTTAATTTGCTTTTAGAGGAGTTATTAAAAATGATCAGTTGCTGAGATACGAATACAGAAGCAACCATTTTTGTCAGAAAATTGAAACAACAGCGGGCAGTGGTTGCTCTGAGTATTCTTGCGCAACCGGTTGCAGAAGAAGTCGTGGTGTGCTATGTTTCAGGCCTTGAAAATAGTATTTTGGACTGTTCTGATAGGCAACCGGTTGGGTATGTTAAAAACAACAGTAATACATATTTTTTCACATCTCAGTATTTCTGCCGCAGTGGTGTCAATAAACATGCCAGCTCTGAATAGACTAAGTTTGTCTGCACATTTGGATGGTTATATAATGTGTGCGATAGGCGTAAGTTTAGCAATGAGGTTACCAAGAGGATTATAGAATATAAGAAAAGTACGGAAACCGAAATAAATAGGAATAAAGTACAGTACGTTGCAGAATTGTTTCTAAAACTACAAGACTTGGCATGCAGTAACATCAATGTCTTCGTGGTCTCTTATCGTTCACTCGGTTTTTCCCACCAGGCGTATCGCCCAAGTACACCACCCGTTTTTGACTGGACTAGAATACCAGCTGTTAATGCTACCACCGTTTCCTCTAACTTGGGGAGCTTTGAGACGTGGTCCCGTCCCAATGGTGAAATAGGCCGATCCAATCCGATCGTAGCCGAGCTGATCGGAGTGTAATTTTCTAACATTGTGATTGCGTTTCCCTGAGTACTGCATCGCAGTTAAGTTTCCAAGATGCATTGCAACATTTTGAACTACTAACATAATATGATATTCGAGCCAAGCCGAGTAATTTTTAGTCACTGCATATATAAGTGGTAATTTCTTCGGCATGTATGAGAGTTGTTTGTTTGAACAGATCACTTGGAAATATTGGCGGGTTCAGTCGCAGGCGTGAGTTTCAGCAGCATGTTTTACCCTCATTGCTTGATCACTGCAGATGGTGAACTTCAAGCGGATAGTCCAAGCCGGTCGTGTCGTTTTCATCGCACGTGGTCCGTATGCTAAAAGGATCGCCGTGATCGTGGAGATCATTGATCAGAACCGCGTGTTGATCGATGGTCCTTGCACCGGTGTTCCCCGTCAAGCTATCGGCCTTAAAAATCTCCACATTACGCACATCAAGTGCCAACTCTCCCACGGTTGTGGCACTGCTGCTGTGCAAAAGCGTTGGGTGAAGGAAGATCTTACTCAAAAGTGGCTGAAGACGGCATGGGCAAAGAAACTGGAAAGAAAGTCATTGCGGGCGAAAATGACTGATTTTGACCGATTCAAAGTCATGGTTGCAAGGCAGCAAGTGAGTTATGTTCTGTGTGATGACACTAACTAGGGAGAGCCGTCTGAACAATGCTGAGCTCCTAGTTTCTGAATTATCTGCCATTTCCACTTACAAACGGTGCTAACGATGATGCATTTACGTTTCAGCGGAATCGGATTTTGAAATCATTCCGGATAATGAAACCTGCTGGGGAACCGAAATCAACAAAGAAATCTGTAAAGTCGAAGTAAATAAAGAATGATGCTTTTGGTCATGCAACCGCCGTTCTTGACATTTTCCGGGTATCCAGTAATTGTTAATGGTATTTCACGTCCAAGTACACCAGTCGATGTTTTTCGTTTTGTTTCTGCCGTACTAGACGAGTATACTGCCGAGGAAGTATGCTGTTCTTTGGTTTGTTAGCTGTGTTTCTCCGTCGCGTATGCGCATGTTTGCTAATGCCTTATTTTGGATAAAGAAATTTCTCGTGGTGACAAGCTGTATGGAGGTACATTACTGCTTTTACGATATGATATTGATTTCGTTACTGGCGCGTATTGATGTTGGACATATTACCATA